GGAGGCAGGGCTGCAAGGCTGCAGGAGAGCAGAGCAGAGCAAGAGGCTGGAGTGGTGGCAGTGCCAAGGACAAAGGCCCAGAGGATGGCTGTGTAGGACACAACTGTGCAGAGAGGCCCGAGGACAAGTGGGCAGGACGGCTGTGCAGGCAGAGAGGCCCAGAGGACAGCTGTGCAGGATGGCTGTGCAGAGAAGCCCAGAGGACAGCTATGCAGACAAAGGGGCTCAGAGGCAGAGACTGGCTTGCTGCATGCAGACTTGCTCTGAGTGAATGGGATTTTAGTGGCTGACCTGCCACTGTGAGAATAAAGTTGGGTATAACCCTTTCACCCAAGAACGTTTAGCTGTCATTTTCTTTGGTCACACTGAATCCATAGCGAACTTACCCAGGGCTGAAACTCATTGGCAAGACACCGATAAAAAATATGAAGTTCACAGAGGATCAGTAACTTGCCCAAGGGCACACAGGGACAAGTGGCAAAATCTGCCCTAAATCTTTTGTAAAATGGGAAAATGAATGAATGAATGAAAATGAAGAGGCAAAGCTGGGACTCAAGTCAGATCTGTATGACCACAAAGCCTTCACACTGCGTCCCATGTGGGCCCTCTCAAGCACAATAGCCTCATCAGTGAGCAAAATTCCTGGGGCACAAGTAACATCCTTCAGGTGATAAAGTTAAGCCCAAGTCTTCTTGGGACAAGAGATGCTGAAATGCCCTGAACTCTGGCACTGTGTCTGTGTGATTTATCCCCTCCTTCATGCAGCAAAGAAGGACCAGGCCCCCTCTTCTTCTGGGCCTCACATAGGAAGCCCAGACACTGCCAGACCTCGTACCCACATCCCTCTTTCTATTCAGAAGCCTCCGCACTGGAAAGAGATTTGTACCCCAGTGAACCCCAAATGGTTGGGGGTACATCTACCACCTTCAATGACTCTAAAAGTAAATGGACTAAACACTGGGTGACCTTGTGCCAGGTACTTGACTTCTCTGAACCCACTGGTGCTTAGCACAGAGTCAGTGTTTGGGACTCCTCTGTTGAAGGGATGGTTGCCTGGACGGAGGGAGGACGACTGGGTCACAGACCCTAACAGCTGGTCTGGTGAAAGAGCAGACATGTGGACTGCCCACTTTTCCTGCCATTGCCACTGTCGTCAGTCTGAAGCGTACAGAATGAGAGGCAGAAGGAGATTCCTTTCCTTGCTGCACCTCAGGAAATGTGCTCGTGTTGCTTATCTTCTTAACCTCCTTCCTCAGCAGTCCGTCTGTCCACACGCCTACAGGCATATTGCCCACAGTAAAGAGACCTTATAAAAAGCTAAAGACCCGAGGGTTTGTGGGGCACAGCCTGGGCAGGCAGGCCAAATAAACAACAGCCCACAGCATGGCTAGAGACCGCAGCTCTTTCTCAGCATTTGTCTCAGAGATTTCCCAGGCCAAGGATCTGCCCTAGTTTGGGCTTTTTCTACTTTTCTGAAAGTAACTAAAAGAAATCAAGAGTCTGAGAGAACCACGGGGTTGGCAAGCCCAAAGCCCTAGGCAAGGCACTCACATTCAGGGTCTTTATTCACCCGTCCTTGACAGCCAAGGGTACATCCAGCCAAGGACAAAAAACGTGAGCTGCCAGGTCCCCAAGTGGGGCAACAGCTGGACTGCTGCATGAGCCAGAGAGGCGGCTGGGCCCTGATGGATGGCCACCTTGTTTTCCATTCTATAGGGGACGTCCTGTCCAGTGATCAGCACCTCCATAGGCTGTTGATTTCTGTCACATTCAGGACCTCTCACCAGCCTGAAAAACAGCTTCCTGGAGATAGCAGGAGTGGCTGCCTCCCAATCAAGAGCCAGAAAAAGGGTCTGGCCTCACAAAACTCAGACACCACCCTGGGGGCTGAGAAAAGACTTTTTTTAAATAAAAGATTCCATTTGATGGGAACAGGAGGACATGATACCCTGTTAAGATCTACAGTGAAAAGGTTCTCTCAGCAAAAGAAGCCAGACTCAGAAGAGTATACCATACAATATGATTTCATTTACAGAAAGTTCAGATTTAGGCAAAAGTCTCCTGTGGTGTTCAGAGTCAAGAGATGCTTGCTTTTGTGTAGGAGGGAGGCCACAATAATCGGAAGCATTTTGATCTGTGTGCTGGCGTTCAGTTTGTGAAAAGTTGCATATTTAATGATTTGTGTGAGGATATGTATTTTATACACCAATAAAATGACTTCAATAAAAAAAATCATTCTCCTTAAAGACAGAAAGTGGCTTATACTTATTGCTGCCTGCTAGCAGAATCCCATCCATGTATATTGGGCCAGAGACTTTAAAAAAAGAACAAACCCATAAGCCTATTTTCTCACCTTCAAAGGGCTTTTTCACTGATTTCTGATTCAAAAAGAGAGTTTCTTTTCTTTTTTTTTCAAGCTGAATATCACTGAATTTCAGGGCCTAATCAAGTCTTTTTCTGCACTTGGCCAATCTCTGAATGGGCCAAGTTCTGCCTGTGGTCCCATGGAGAGACCAACTAAGTAATCCTCAGGCTTCCCAAGTTCGACACAGAGAGCAGAGCCACAGAGAACACAGGCTACGCGAAGCAACTTTCCCCAGGGTACACAATGAGTTGTTGATGGGGGGCCTTGTGATTCTGTGTCCAAAGACTATCACTGGTCTACTACATCTCATTCCACAGGAGCCAATTAATACACACTGTCCTTTAGGGAACTGAGAAAAATGAGCCCAGGGAATGTCGCCGGCCACTCTGTATGTGCAAAGCACGCAAAGGGGTTTACCAAGGTCCCTTCCAACAGGAAATCTCAGAGAGCCAGGAAGAGGAGGAGGGGAGTGCTGAGTCGACATTGCAACACAGCCCAGGATTTCTGTGGAAACGATGTTCTCTCAATCAAAACACAGTTGTACACACAGACTCACTCCACTTAAAAAAAAAAGGAAGAAATATAAAGCCTATAAATAGGGGCCATGCAACCCTGATTAATTTTAAAGTTCTTTCTCTGCTGTCTTTTTTAGATAGCAGCTAAAAATAAAGGCTTGAAACTTGAAATAATGTAAGCAAGTAATCACACACCCGCACTGGGCCTTTCCCATATATGGCTGTGTTATTCTTCAGCCTTTGAAAAGGCCAAATGAAGAGATGGCCAACAACCAAACTAATCCTTCAGACATTTGAAAGCAAGGAGAAAGAACTAGAAGAGTTGGTGAGTGACAAACAATCCAAACGCTGAATGGGGGTAAACAACCCTGAGCGGGATTAGTTGCCATAGCACTTTAAAAACATGGGCACATGTATTTTGACACTGGGCCCCTTCTCTAAAGAGACTGTTTTGCCCTCTGGCCTCAGTGCTGAGAAAACTACAACTGCGGTCATTTAACATAAAGGACTTAAAGACGGAAACCAGTGCAGGGCCATGACTGAAAATTTAATTAAGGCCCTTCTCAATGTGAAATCTGCAGAGGAGATGAGGCCACATCTCGAGGTCAGAAGAAAGGGAAGGAGACATGGAAAAAGGAACAAGGGTAGGGATTCAGATGAGACAGGAGAGCATGAACAGCAAAGGCTGGCTGTGGAGGACCGCTTCCCGTGAGGGAGGGTGAATACGGTATCTCTGGGGTCCTACTTGAGAGGTTTCTGTAGGAAAGATGAACATATTTGTGTCAGATAAATGCCTCTTTGAGGCAGGCTGGAAAAGTCACATTTGCATAGTGTTTTATAGTTTACAAAGCCTCATCACAGACATGATCCTGGATACAAGGGAAAGCACCTGCTTTTACAGATATGGAAACTGGGGCTTGGGGAGGGCAAGTGACCTAACACAAGGTCTGTGATGGGCACCTTAGTGAAAGAAGCCAGCTCCCAACATGCGTGCCAGGGCTACTTCCTTCCACTCACAAAACCCCCACAAAGAGGCGGGCAGAGTGCTGAGTTGAGGTTTGGGTTTCGGCTTACCCACTACCTCTCTCTGAGACCACAGGCAAGTAATTTCTGCTCTTCGGATTCAAACCCCCAACTGGAAAATGACAGGATTGTCCTAGATGACAGGAGGGGGGCAGTGGGGAGGCAGAGGGAGAAGACTGTGACCTGAGAGGGTCACTCTGCTCTCTGAACTCATGTTAGTCTGTCCCTACAAATCCCCAGATGGGACTGTCGGACACTATCACCACTTCACTCACACAGCCAGCCTCCCTGTTACACACTGAAATACACATAGGGAACCTACAAAGATGATTTCTCAAAGGTAAAACTAAAAAATCTCTTCATTCCTTGAAAAACTGGTGAAGAGGCACCACGGCTTTTAAATTCACATTCCACTACTTTTTCATTTACTGTCTATGGAACGGACCTTCCTTAGGATGCTTCAGATTCCTTTTTTTAAAAGACACCCCACTTTCTGGTGACGCTGCATGCTTCTAAAGGTTTTCCCATGTGTGCCCAAAAGGATTTCTATTTGGCTAGGGAGTCAATAATAACAACAAACAATAGCAATAAAAATAACAGGCATCACTTATTGAGGGCCTATGCCTACCAGGCACTGTGGCTGAGCCCTTCTTTATCTCTAATCCCTTCTAATCACTGCAATGATCAGATGAGTTTGGTATTATCATCTCCACATTATAGATAAGAAAACAAAGGCTCAGAGAAGTTTAGTGACCGGGCCAAGGAAGGCCATCTTAAAAACTGCATGCAGCACAGGGATTTAAACCACTCTCTGGCTGATTCCAAAGCCCATTATTTCTTTTTCTTCTCCATTATGAGACCTCTCGTCAATGTGCTAAATGCAGCAAGGACTCCGCTTGTTTGTAATTTCTTCTCTTCACCATCCCACAGAATGGGATACTTTCCAGGTAGTCACAAAGCACTCCCACTGAAAGTCAAGGGCAGCTGGAGGAAAGTAGGTGGAAAAGCCATGGGCTGGGCTGATGGTATGATAAAGTGACCCTGCACCACTGGAATGAGGCCTAGAATTCTAATTTCATTTCCACGTCATCACTAACCTGGTGAGGCACGAGCCCCAGAGAGGTTGGAGGCTCATTCATACGGTCATCGCTGCTGCTGGCAATGGCGTAGCCCCTGAGAAAAGGAAACAATTAGAGCCGGTCATTTAATAAAAGTTTGTGTTTAACTCCTGTGAGGGTGATCTGCAAGAGGTCCAGGTAAAATTTATAAGGATAACCAAATGTCCCTTGCTAAGCAGCACAAACTAGCAAGAAACTAATTTTCCTGGGAGGGAGGGCAGAAGAGGACAAAAAAAAACCACACAAAACCCTGAGTTTTCAGCCAGGAAGACCAGAGCTTGTGCCCATAGGCAAGTTACTTGACTTCTTTGTGCTTGAGGTCCTTCATCTACAAAATAGGAATAAGACAGTTGTGAGGAATAAATTAAGAATCAGTGAGATAAACGGCCAAGCACAACAGTTGGTATGTGTTAAACCAATAAATGTTAACTCCCTTACTCTGAGATAGTCTTGTAAAACAGTTTCATACTGAAATTTTGAAATGGAAAACTTCCCAACCTGAACTTCTTGAGGTGATACAAATGCTGCCAGAATGGAGGAAGGAGAAAGAAAGTGAGGGATTAACTGGGCAGGAGAATGAATACGTGTGGTGCCTACTCATGGCACAGGGGTCATGTGACACGGGCCCTGGTTCCAGCCCATGACCGGGACAAACGTGGGTGACAGAGGGCTCAACGTCAAGGAACCACAGAATCAGCTCTCTCCAAGGCTTTATCCCAGATACACATTAAACTTAGAGGGCAGGGGGAGCCGAGCGGAATGTCCAAGAAGAGAGGAAAACAAAAAAGCTGCTGATTTTCATCTCACTCTGGAGTAGTTAGACTAGTTACATATGCTACCAATGTTGCACAGAGGTCATCTTTTCAACTGCGCAGAAAAACTCTGAGTCATACAATAAATACAATATTCATGTTAGCTTCTGAGAATTGGAAAAATAAATCTTTCAAAAATTCAATTCCCTCCTGCCTGTTTTATAAACAGCACAGCAGAGTGCTTAAAAACAGAGTTTGGAGCCAAACTGGCTGCACTAAAGCCCAGCTTTACCACTTACCAGCTTTATGAATTTCAGTAACTTACTTAGCCTCTCTGTGCCTCAATTTTCCCCATCCAAAGTGGGACGGATAATAGTTGTTTGCAAACAGGGTTACTACAAGGATTGAATGACTTACTATTTGTAAGGTGCTTAGAACAGTGCCTAGCACAAAGTAACTACCATGGAAGTGTTTGAAAATAGAGTAAATTGTAGTGTATTTGTCATACAACTAGGTATAAATATTTGAGACTTTATAGCATGGTCACACGCAGATATTGAGAGAATTATTAAATCTCTAATCATTTTTCTTTTTCTTTTCTCTTTTCTTTGTTTCCTTTTCTTGTCATCTCTCTTCTTTCCTTCTTTCTTTTTTAAAATGACTCTTAGTAAATTAATTTTTGCCTCACTTCTGTTTATTACAAGATGAATCAATTTTATTGTTTCTAGGTCATAAAGATTTTCTCCTTGCTAGGAGAAGATAGGGTGCCTAGATGACAACTGTGACAATTCTTGTGTATTTAAAATAATACATATACCATGTGTTAAACGTATAAACTAATAAAAGGCCAAGGTCAAGTTGAAAGAAAACACACCAGACCACTCATCTCTTTACTATCACATGCAAGTTTAGTATACTGTTAGTACTTAATAAATTAGAAAAATATTTTAAAGATGGTATGGTATTGGTGGACTAGAGAGTCATGACCAGCCCTCCCACTGAAGACAGACAGAAAGCTATAGGAAGTGTAACAGCCTTTATTTGAAAGTATGAGAGCTACCAAGGTGAGAAAGAATAGCAAAGCCAAGATCTGTGAGACAGGGAAAGCCCATAAAGGTAAAAAAAAAAAAAAAAAAAAAGCCACAGAGGCATTTACAAGGGGAGCTTTCCACCATAAAGTGACTACCAACATCCAAAAGCAGGCACCATGGGGGCAGAGGCCTGAACAGTGATAATGACAGACGCACAGACTGGAGAAAAACTAGAGTTTGAGGTCTGCCAATAAGGAGGAATCATAGAAAATAACTCAGGCTGGAATAAGGTATAGCCCAGAGAAGACAAGTAGTGACTCTATAGCACCTTACTATGCTGATGGACAGTGACTGTAAAGGGTATGTGGTGGGGACTGGATCATAGGGAGGAATGTACTAACCACAATGTTGCTCATGAAGCCTGAGCTTAAGATTGTATATCAATGATACCTTAATAAAAAAGAAAAGAAAAGAAAATACCCCAGGCTTTAGGTCTGCTGTGGGTTACCTCCTCAGAATAAGGGTGAACCAGAGAGAGAGAAGCCCTAATCAGATTTAGGTACTCTAGGACTGCTAGACTACTTAGCGTAGCAGTTTGCCAGAAGGAATTATAAATCACATCATCTCTATCATTTTTCATATATAATATCCAGTGTCAGTCAAAAATAACCAAGCAGATACAAGGAATTGGGGAAATTTAAAAACTAATTAGATATGGTATGTCAATTATATTTCCATCAAGAAAACTAATTGGACATGTGATGATATTAAGAAATTGCCTTCAATTTGTTTTTACCTATAAATAGTAGAGATACATGTTAAAAAAGTATATTTTTATAAATGAAATGCTATGTCTTAGGTTTGCTCTAAAATAAATCAGTGGGAAGAGAAAAACATGGATAGCAGTATAGATAAATGATGACTGGCCGTGTTTTGGTCATTATTGAAACTGGGTGGTATACAATGGGGGTTATTATTTTATGTATATCTTTCTTTCACATATATATGTTTGTGTTTTCCATCATAAAGGGAGTTGTTTAAAAGAACCCAAAACAGATACATGAGGAGACAATACATAACCTAAAAAAAAAACAACAGATAATAGGAAGAGACTCAAAGGACATCCATATAATGGAGATATTTGATAAGGACATAAAAGAAAAACATGATGAAATGTTTTCAAGGAATGATAAAGACCAAAATCATGATTTCATCAGAGAATAGAAGATGTACAAAAAATAAAATAAAATGGGCATCCTAGAACTAAAACATATAACAGTGAAAAGCTCAATGGATGGTTCACATGTATTAGAGAAGAAGAAAGAATTGGTAAACTGGAAGACATGTTAAAAAGCAAATAGGCAGACAGAAGTGAGGAAAGACAAAATGATGGAAAATATAGAAAAGAGCATAGGTTGATCTGACATGCAATTGGAGACTAAAAAGAAGAAGATAGAAAGGGGCAGAATCAATATTTTAAGAAATAATGGCTGAGAATTTTCCACAGCAGATGAAAAATGTCAAGCCATGGATTGAAGAAGCACTATCACAATCACAATCAGAATAAATACAGAGGTAGGTGTACCACAGTCCAACTTGTAAAAACCAAAGGCAATGAGATAACCTTAAAAGCAACTGGGGGCAGGGGAAGAGGGTGAAAAAAGATTTATCAAAGAAGAAGCAATGAAATAGAACACCCAACTCCTCAACAAACATCAAGGCAGCCAGAGACAGATTATACTCTTAAAATGCTGAAAGAGAATTATCATCAAACTAGAATTCTACATGCAGCAAAAACATCTTTCAAACATGAAGATAAAACAAAGACATTTCAGGCAAACAGAAACTGAAATTTCTTTGTCACTAGCATTTCTAAAGGAAATAATAAAGGGCTTTTGGGCAGGAGAAAAATGTCCTCAGCTGGAAACTTGAAGATACATAAAGAAATGAAACATAAAAAAAGGAGAATGTTAACGAAACTAAATGAATACCAACTGTTTAACAATAATGATACCTTCTGGGTTTTACATACATACATAATTTTTAAAAATGAGTGTGCAGACACTTGTTGCCTAGCCAACATCCATTCAGTTTTATTCAGCCAGGCATGTGCCCAGCCAAAGAACTGTATTTGTCAGTTCTCCGTGCAGCTAAGAGTGACCATGATATAGGAGTTAGAATCAATGGATGAGTCTCCCAGGAAAGCTCTTTGAAAGGGGGAAGCCTTAGCTGAACACCACTTCTATCCTTTGGTCATTGGTTTCTTTCTAAGTGTAACATAGAAGCAATATTGGCGTTAGAGCAGTCATCCTGTGACTGCAAGGTGACAACCCTACGGGAGAAAGCTGAGTGGCTGATGGTAAAAATGAACCCAAGTTCCTGATGGCATAAAGGAGCCTTAATACCTGCCCTAAACTGCCTGCCTCTGGGCTTCTTGCTACATAATAAAAATAAAGCTCTGTTTGGCTATACACACAGCTAAACACAATTTCTACCTTATGTGATTCATGTATTGCCCTAGACATGTTCAGGGCTAAGGACATCAAAACTTACCAACAGAATGAAAGCAGGAAGGTCCTAAGGCTCTTACTAACGTTTTTATTCTTCCTATCATCACTTACCAAATAACTCAAGGAGATTTTAATTCCAGAAGGAAGCAGAGATGTAGCCCCAAAGATTACAAGACTAGTTCTCCCAGGCCAAATAATCAGACCTGGTTTTTCAGTCTTTTTTTTATGAGAATAGAAAGAGCAATACAATTTTCAGAAGAGTGACACTGAGAAAAGGCCAAGGGAGACACAAAAGCTTTCTTTGTTTACATAGCCATTTTTAAACAGCAAACTCACCCTTCTGGATGCTGCAAAACGGAAACCATTAGTTCCACGGCCAAGGCTCCTGCAATCATGGCCAGTCCTGGACGACTCACAGTGCACTGCTGGTCCAGGGTCCGGTCTCTGGTTGACTACAGGGAAACAATTACTGATGTGTGTTCACAGTTTTAGTCCACTCAACTCCAGCTCTCTGCAGCATGAAACCCCTCCGTGATAAAACTGTAGGACATAACCAGGTGCCCACTCTTGACAAAGAACATTCAGCCTCTAGCAATACAATTTCTTGCAAGTGCCAAGAAAAAACAAAATATCAAATTTAGGTAATTAAATGAGGTCATATGCTAAAAGGATTCACAGTTGTAAACAAATTAAAGATTGGGGGTGCCTAGCTGCCCCATGTATGGAGTTACATCATGTGCTCTTTTAACTGACTCTGTTCAACCTTCTGCACTGGGTAGCAGAGACAGAAATAATGATTTGGATAGCGCAAATGACTCTGGCCTGCCATTCTCACTGAGCCAAGGCCTCAGTGTGTCTGTGAGGCGGACGGTAGTTGGCTACACCTGTAGCCCTCAGTTCCTCCCACAGTGTGGGCACTGAGCCACTGTGAGTGTGGTCCCTGGGCTGAAATATGAGTATTTTTGCTACAACAGGGCTCCAAACACAGCCTTCATTAATCCAACCAAAGAAATTCTAATTCTCCAACTCTCGGCAAGTCAAAGGGTTGTCAGGGATGATCTTGAGTCTGAAAAGTTTTGCCATATGAACAGATGCGACTTTACCCAGATCCTACTTGCTGGTGATAACAAAATATCAGGATGAGTGGTATATTATAACACCTGGATGGAGATCACAGCCACCCTTCTTCACGTAAGAGAATTATTTTTTCCTTTATACTGGGAGGACATAGAATCCTGTATTTTCACTTGCTGAATCTGCCAACATTATGGGCCTCAGCCCAGGCTGCAGAAGCACAGGAAGCCCGAGAGACTTACCTGGAATTGCCCTGTGAGGCAAGGTCTGAGCCCAGGTTGGAATCAGGGTCTCACACTCCTCATTTAATGCTCTCTTCACTAAGATAAGCCCCGGAGACTGTGCTGAGTCTGCCAGGGATCAGTCTGTTCTGAAATATCCTTGCTGGCTTTCTAAAAAGAAAGGTTTGTGGCTGTGTTTATATTGGTGAACAGGACACAGCTATAAACAGTTGATGATGCCAGTCAAGGCTCATAGGGGGATAATGCCACCTTCCAAATTAGAGAATTGTTCTCCTTGTTAAAGAACAGTATTAAACAGTCATAAAGTAAAGAGCTGGGTCTCTGCCCTAATGGGAAAGATGGTTATAGGAAATATTTGGAGCCACAAAGAAATTCACTTACATCTCCCGGAGCCACAACATCATTGCAGAAATAACAGCCCAGTTTGTAGCCAGGGATGTTGGCAAAAAGCGAAGAGCCTAGGTCGGCAGGTACCACAGGGTGGCTGGAACACAAGTCCCCAGCTCCCTGCTGCTTAGGTTTTTTCAGACCATGTCTCATGACAACAAATGTGTCAAATCCCAAGGCAGCATTGATGACCAGCTGTGGGTTTCAAGAAATAAAAGACTAGAGTTAAGAGACACTTATATTTTAAAGCATGGTTAATTTCCTACCTGGCCAACTTTTTTAAACTTACTTTAAAAGTATTTGCATATGATAGAAGCCACAGGGCATAAATCTGCAAAGAAGTAAAAAGCTAACCTTTTCAAACAATATGGCTTCTCTCTCACTTACCAACTTTACATTTCCCTGTATGGCCCCGGAAGATGACTGGTTAGCCAGAGACGGGTAAGATTCCTCAAGGGAGGAACAACCTAAGACAGGCACAGTCGCAGGGGGGCCATCAGGTGAGAATTTGGGGATCAACAGAGGTGAGGCTCAGAACCTCACCCCCCCTGCTTTGAGAGAAATCTTCTGCATCCGTGGATGTCTTGCTGCCCTTGTCTAGCCTGGATTAATACTTAGTCCATAGGCACACACCTGATCATCTGATCATCTACATTTGCCTTCTTACAGCACTAAACTATGTTTTCTACCTTTATCTTGCATCTACCTACCACTTCAGCATTTTATTAAAAATAAAAATAATAATAATAATAGGAGAAATGTGGGATCAACATATAAATCAAGTACAAAAATCAAA